TAGCCGCGGCCTGAGGCTACCCAGCAGAAGCTACAGAGAGATCTGCAGATTGCTCTTCTTTGTTTGGGATTTGGAGGTGCCCAGATGAGGCCCAGCTGTGAAGCATTGCAAGCTGCTATGGTGCCTTGGGCCTTCTTTTGGATGTTCTGGGTCTCTCTGATCCAGCTGCAGCTTGTTAGGTAATTTTAGATTACAAAGAGCCAGGTCTATCATATGCAAAAGCCTCTGCACACAGCTTGGGTAGGGCGGGATCTCAGGGAATCAACATGGCAGAATAAACAGCTATGGCTGATCCTCAGTCCTACCCTAAGAGCTCCCGGGTCTCAGTGTCCCAGTAATCGCTGCAAGCACCTCTGAGAGAAAGCTGCCCTTGAGTTCTGCCCCCTGCTGTCTAGTTTCTCCCCATATGAGTCTGGGTCCCCAGGGACTCACCTGGATCTGGAGTCAGGGTCGTAGGGAGCTTGTGCCTCCCTCCCGATTGCAAAAGACACCGGTGTCCTCAGTTGCCAGCCCCTTTCCGCGTGCGCTCGAGCCTCTGTACCTCTGCACTTTATTCCGCATCTCCTCTGAGTCTCAGTGTGCTTTTCTCTTTCCTTCTAGTTGTAGAACTTCCACTCAGCCAGCCTTCCTGTGGTTCGTGATGATGTCTGTTTTGTCTTTTAGTTGTATTTTTGAAGTGGTTGTGCGAGGCAGCAATTTCAGGCGTTTACCTATGACGCCATCTTGGTTTCTCTCCAGGATATAGTTTTAAAATTGATTTTTAGAGAGTGAAAGTGTGGGGGAGAGAGAGAGAGAGAGAGAGAGAGAGAGGTTCATGCGAAAGAGGCACATAGATTGGTTGCCTCCCGCACCCTGATTCCAGCCAGGGATTGAGCCTGCAACTGAGATACATGCCCTTGACTGGAATCAAACCTGCAACCCTTCAGTCTGTGGGCCGATTCTCCAACCATTTAGCCACACCCACCAGGGCTCATGTTGCTTTTAAAATGATTTCTTGCCCAGGGGAGGGATAAGGAATTGTTTGGACAGTCATTTACACCTTAGTGTGAACAAGTTTCTGCTTCTTTCTTGAGACCAGATTTAGATCCAGAAAGATGGGTAAAAGCTATGACTCACCAGGGAGGAAAAGTCAAGAAGTAGCGATCAGGGGCCAGACTTCACCCTCCAGCCTGCCCCTTGGCTTAGGTGGTGCCTGGCCCTCCAACCCTGAAAGCAGCAGAAGCCGGACAGGAGGCCCAGTTTCCTGAGGGTTGGGCAGGTGTTGACTGTTGGCTCTGAGCGACACAGGAAATGGAGGTGGAAGTGGCAGCAATGGGGAAGGGTGAGGAAATCCCAGGCCGCACCCTTGTTTTAGCCAGAAACAGGATTTGGGGCAGCGGCCAACCCTGTTCAATAAACATCATTGAGCCGAAACCGGTTTGGCTCAGTGGATAGAGCGTCGGCCTGCGGACTGAAGGGTCCCAGGTTCGATTCCGGTCAAGGGCATGTACCTGGGTTGCGGGCACATCCCCAGTAGGAGATGTGCAGGAGGCAGCTGATCGATGTTTCTCTCTCATCGATGTTTCTAACTCTCTATCTCTCTCCCTTCTTCTCTGTAAAAAATCAATAAAATATCTTTAAAAAAAAAATAAAAAAAAATAAACATCATTGAAACTATATCAGGCTTGGTACTGGGTACGGAAAACGAATCCACTCCGTGTAGCCTGTTTCTCTGGCTTCCCTTCTCTCTATTGCACCAAGAGATTATTGGCATGACTTGCCGCCCTGCATTTCAGCCTCCGTTGGTTTGGGGCTGCGCCCAGGTTGCATTCGACCACTTCAGCAAATAGGATGCCTCCCAGCGGCCTGACCTGCCACCCTGCATCTAGAACCACCGAGCACACCCATGGGAGGAATCCAGCCCAATCTGAAACCACATTCCTTCTTTTCTGGCCTAACATTATGTCCACATCTACTCCCCAGGTTTTTGATGGTATTAATTAGCAAGATCTTACAACACATTTGGTAAGCCTTCTCCTAGGTCAGAGTTCTTTTTTTGGAGAATGGAAGGGAGGGAGTGAAAGCTGGGGGAGAGAGAGATCGGTTGGTTGCCTCCCACACACCCCCAAATGGGGCCTGGGGCCAGGGATCGAACCTACAACCCAGGTATGTGCTCTTGACTGGGAATCAAACCTGAGATACTTTGGTGCGCCGGCCAATGCTCTAACCATTGAGCAGACCACCCAGTGCCAGGTCTGATTTTTGTATTTCCCTGGAGCATGATAAAATCTGGCTCTGCTAGTAATTATGGGCTCAGAGAGGTGAAGAAACTTGCCCAAGATCACACCTAGTATGCTTGCTTAACCCCGACCCTCCCCCACCTTTGCTTTAAGATAAGCTCTTTCCTTAGAACCCCCAAAGGTTTCTGAGGGTCACGCCTCAGCCCAATCCCTGTGTTGATGCTGGGGATGCTGAGGTGGGGAGATGGAGAGGGCCTTGTCAGAGGTCACAGGTCAGGGTCAGACAAGCCTGTGCTCCGCTCCACTCAGTGCCTCCCTGGGCAAATCCTGTGGCCCAGTTTCTCTTTCTTTCTCTTTCGCAAATCCTGTGGCCCAGTTATTTGCTGAAGCCACAGGGAAGCCTGAGCAAGGTAAAAAGCATGAGGAATCAGAGCGTGTATTGTGCCAAGGCTTAATGGCATGATTCACTTCCTCCCTCCCTCCCTCCCTTTCTCTCTCTCTTTCCTTTCTTTCTTTCTTTCAAAAATATATATTTTCATTGATTTCAGAAAGGAAGGGAGAGGGAGAGACAAACGTCAATGATGAGAGAGAATCATTGATCGGCTGCCTCCTGCACGCCCCACACTGGAGATCAAGCCCGCAACCCGGGCATGTGCCCGACTGGGAACCAAACCAGGACCTCCTGGTTCTTGGGTCTACGTTCACTCACCAAGCCACGCCGGCCAGGGCCTTTCTTTCTTTTTGTAATATTTATTTTAGAGAGAGAGAAACACGGATGTGAGAGAAACATTGATCAGTTGCCTCCCATACATGCTCCCACCGGGGATCAAACTTGCAACCTGGGTATGTGCCCTGGCCAGGAATCAAATCAGTGACCCTTCTGGTGCATGGGCTGACACTCAACCAACTGGGCCACACCGGCCTGGGCCCCTGGTCCATTTTCTCTGGACCCTTTCACCTGCACCACCTCCCTTCCTCCAGCTCCTGGCTCCCCCACTGCCTCCCCAGGCGGGCTCGGGAGGGCCCAGGAGGGCTCAGGACAGCTCAGGACGGCCCAGGAGGGCTCAGGAGGGCCCAGGAGGGCTCAGGAGGGCCCGGGCGGGCTCGGGAGGGCCCAGGAGGGCCTGGCATTGAGGAGGGTCTCCTCTCTCCTGCAGGGAGGTTCTGGCACATCTCTGACCTGCACCTGGACCCTGACTACAAGGTGTCCACAGACCCCCTCCAGGTCTGCCCCTCAGCTGGCTCCAGGCCGGTGTACAACTCGGGCCCCTGGGGTGACTACCTCTGTGATTCTCCCTGGGTCCTCATCAACTCCACCATCTATGCCATGAAGGAGATCGAGCCGAAGCCAGACTTCATCTTCTGGACAGGGTGAGAGCCGACATAACAGCTACCTTCCGCTGGGTTTCTGCTGCCTGCCGCCTGGCACCTTCCTGCCCCGTCCCCCTTAGTCCTCATATGAAGCTCAAAGGGACCCTGGGCGTGGCTGATTCCAAAGCCTGTGCCCTCGCCCTCCGTGTCCCAGACTCAGCAGAGTGCAGTGTGGCTGCACGACCAAGGGTGATCCTGAGTGGGGAGGGGTGTGTGTGTGTGAAAGGATTAAGGAAAAGACAACAAGAGAATAATCGCTGAGTCTCAGTGGGAAGCTGCTCCCTGATGAGGAGACAACGTCAGCGCCCACAAGCCGTGTCTTTATTTTATAGCAGGTGTCACGAGGCAAAGCAGGGCGTGATCACGTTGTTTACAACATTCTCGTGAGCTCCAACCCTGCTCAACTACATGCACCCGAACTCGATCACAAGGCACGGGGGGCCACGTGTTTGGACCATAGGTTCAAGTTTACAACCACAGCCGTTGGCTATGATTGTGCTGGGAGGGCCCGGCCCTCCAGCTGGGACTTGCACGTGGCAATGAGAGGACCCTGTCCATTCATTAGTCCGAGGCTTGAACCTGGCCAAAACCCCGTAACCGCGCCCCACAGTGCAGCTCTCACTGTGGCTGGGACAAGGCCATGGCTTGCCTGGGCATGTGGAGAACTCCCCCATTTTAAGTTGGGGGATGAATACTGCAGCCTCTCCCACTGGGGTTTAGGGACTGCAAGCCCTAAAGATCCAAATGCAGAAACAGGAGAAGGTAGGTGCCATTATTATTCCTATTTTACAGATGAGCTGATAGGGGCTCCGAGAGTTTAAATAACCAGCCAAGGATCCACAGCAGGTCAATGGCAGAGCCATTGGGTTTGAACTCTGTCCTATGTGACTCCCAACTTCAGCCTGGCCATACCTCTCAGTTCCACGGCCTCTTTTCTCACAGAAGAGCCCCCCACCCCCTGTACCCCTTTTCTCATTCCCCATCCTGAGCTGCCCACACCAAACTGGCTTGGCGGTGTTTTGCAGGGACGACACCCCTCACGTGCCCAACGAGAGGCTGGGAGAAGTAGCTGTGCTGAAAATTGTGGAACGCCTGACCAACCTCATCAGAGAGGTCTTCCCGGGTGAGAGCCTACCATTAGTCCTCCACAGCATTCCCTGAACCCCATGGTGCCATGGGACAGTGGCAGCGAGGGGTAAAGCCATGGGACAGTAGCGGCCTTCATCCATTGACAATAATGGCTGTGGGAAAGTTCTGTGCCAGGCACTTCCAACAGCCCTGCAGGGAACATGAGAGCTAATTGGCCTACGGATACACACAGAACTTATTCATGGAAATGATGGGAGAATCATTGATTGGCTGCTTCCTACACACCCCACATTGGGGATCCAGCCCACAACCTGGTGTGTGCTCTGACCAGGAATTGAACCGTGAGCTCCTGGTTCATAGGTCGATGCTCAACTACTGAGCCACGCTGGCTGGGCTAGAAGGTTTTCCAGTTTATCATACACTTGCACATTTGCTGAATTTCCTACTATTCAAGATGCCATCGACTGTAAGATGCATCATTTTATGTAGAGTGGTGAACACAGATGTAGACGGCTTGCCGACCCAGCCCCTTCTAGGCCCTGCCACGCACTAGCTGGGTAATCTCATCAAAACTATTTCTCCCTGGGAAAAATAAATACTGGTACCTGCCCAGAGGATTGCTGTGAGGATTAAAGAAGCCAACCCATTCACTCATTTAGCCCATCAACAAATATGTATTGAGCATCTACTATGGGAGACACAAGGTTAGGGGCAGGGGACTTGGCGGTGGAACAAGACGTCAGGTCATGACCTCATGGAGCTTGTAAGGAGCTTCCAAAAAGTCTGACCCATAGAAGCAGCAAAAAGAGGGAGGGATCCTCTCCCTTCTCTTCTGTCCTTGAAATTCCAGGAGTTCGTGTTTTTCTTAAATGGATCTTTAATGGCTGCCAGCATTTATGTCAGAGAGGTGAGGTTTTTCCTGACAGTTACAATGATGGCTTCCTGCTCTGTGAACAATTCCTGGTGAGAATTTTACAACTTCCTCCTTTTTGCAGAGCTCTCAAGACCTGGCAGGCTATACAGGACAAAGTGTTTGTTAGAGGCGTTTCCCCAACTGAGAACGGGAGGCTCCCTGGGGTGAGCCAAGCTCATATAAGGAAAATGCCCTGCCCTGAACTCAGAGGAGTCTTTATTTGTCATCAAATATTTATTGAACAACTACTACCTGCCAGACACAGTGGTAAAATAAAAGTGGGGATGAGGCTGATAGCCTCCCCTCCCCTCTCCTCCCCTCCCCTCCCCCCCAGGCTCATTCACAGGCCACTTTCTCTAGGAGGCCTTCCCCTGACTCCACCACTCCTGTTACAGCAAGGGGCTCTTCCTTTTTCGCAACAGCCACACACCTCTCGTTGCCCAATACCTGTCAACCTGCTGCAATGCAAAGCCTCTGGGACTGGGACCGGGTGCCTGGTACCAGGTCTACGTGTCGGTACAAACGAGGTGCTCAGTAAATACTTTTGTTTCATGAGTGAAACTCCCAAGGCCTCCCGGAGTGAACCAGACCGTTTCCCTAACAGTAAGATGGCCC